ACGTCTTGGAACGTACCACGTCCAAGCTCTGACTTTCGAAATTATCATGCATACAATGGACTCCGGACTAAGTGCGTTCCTCTAGGTCTTCCTACCAATACGACAATGTTGCAAAAACAAGGTCAAACAACCTATAATTTCTTTTTATTGTCAATGCTATAAACCAAAACGATACCATGTGATTTGATTATGTATGTGTCTTTAGATTATATTTAGAATAAATACTAATTATAATAACTTTTTTATTAGTGCTATTAGCCAATAACCTCCAATTTGGATATTATAACCATTCCTCTTTTATAACATATTGTCTACGCTTATCTTATATTACTCCGCCGTAAATAAGCAGCCAGGGTATTTGGTTGTCGAAAAGCTACTACTATAACTTAACCTAGACAACTTGATTCACACTCTCAGTAAGTTTTAGTAAGACAGCATAAAAGCAATTTTATAGAATTATCCGTTTGAATTTTGTGTTTCCCAACCGGCCAACTTTGAACATCGTCCAACACCTTTTTTTTATTTACCAGTGTTTTTCCCTTGGGTTTTCCAAGATAATTCTTTCTCCACTATACATGGTGCTGAAATAAATGTACACATATATAGCTAAAAACCATTTCTTCACTTCCAGCCCCAGTCCTCCGATTCAGATTGATCCTCCTCAGACAAGCCTTCCATCGGTGACTACCGCTAACACTGCTTATGGTTCCTCTCTCATTAATTCTGGTGGTAAAACCAATGAATCGATTCTGTCTCGAGTTGGCTTTCAGCGAAATTTGACCCCTACCGAATTGGCTATTGTTCAACATGAAGCTGGACAGATGCAGCGCCAGCTTCGCATCTGCTTACGCCGCGTGGTTGCTCGTCTTGCCAGGGATCGCCGCTTCCTTGTGTTTACACGACCCGTAGATTCTGATGAGGCGCCCGATTATCATGAGGTCATCTCAAATCCGATGGACCTTGGCAAGGTCCGTGACAATGTCGATCTACATAATTACACCACTGTTGAGCCATTCGTTAAGGTAGGTATCTATATTCTGTAATCTGTTTTTTTATTGTGGTTATGCACATTAGCTTACCTGGAATATAGTGATTCAACGTCCTCTGAATTCATCTGTCTCGATTTCTATATTCTATGTGACAGTACCGATTTGTAT